CACCAGGCAGGGCTGTTTGAAGAAGCATTAGTAGAGGTACAATGACATGTTAATCGGGAGTAACAGTCTGGATGATTCTCTCTGTTCAGCCTTGCAAAGTTGCCTCAACTTTGGGTCTTGACAGTTCTGAGAAGGGAGCTCAGGACGTGGCCCAGCCCTGTTTTTCAGGATCCAGCCCCAGGTTTTTATTGAAAGGCAAATCCAATAGATTTTGATTAGGGAGCCTAGGTAGAGCTACATTACACTCAGGCTTTTTTGTGATTTGGATAATTTCCATGGGTGCTAATGCTGAGCAGTGCTTGACATGGCCTCTTGCAAAAGAGTCATTTGACAAACATCAAAAGACAGGTAGGGCCATAGGTCTCACAGCTGGTCAGAAATTTTAGTAAAAACATCTGAATTTTGTAGCACTCCTTGCTGACAGCAGCTTGTTGGCTGATTAAAAGTGATATCTTTTCCTCAGCAGTGATCTAAACAATAAATTATCCATCCTATCTTCTGACAAACACTGAAATAACTAATAATATTGTCATTGCTCTCAGTGTTTTCATTTTTCTGTGTTACCCGGCTGTTGAAACGATGCGGTCTGTTTACTTACATCTAAGATCGTATGGCTTAGGAGTGGTAATACTTGATTCATGATAAGAATTGAGTCATCACTCTTTGTCGTCAGGAGAACGGAGTCTTGGTTTGGATTATGGATTGCTGCTCGCCTGCTTGAGGCATGTGTGGGCTCTGTACAATCTACGCCTGCATATGCCTGGGTCTAAATCTTGAAGAAGGTAGAAGTTTCTTACATTTAAGGAACGTTAATTGCTGCTCCTCTCTGCTTGGGGTGTTGGCAGCATCAGTTCCCACCACGGAGGTCTGGGAGAACTCAGCATCCCAGGGCATGGGGCTTTTATTAAATTTAAAAAACCCCAGCAGGTGGTCTCTAATGTAAAGCCTACCTACAGTGGTGATGTCTGATCTCATTAATGGCACACAGTGAATCAACCCCGTGTGTCTCCTTCCCCGGCTGCCTCATCGGGCTTGCTTGGTGGTCAAGGAGGATTTGTAGCGCTGCGTCTGTTAAAATGAGCTTTGGCCGATTTCAAAGGAGCACTTTGTCATGAAGTGACAAAAATCCACACTGAAACGCAAGGAAGAGTGTTATATGGAAGTCTGAAAGGCTGCATTATCCTGTTGTAAAGTGAAAAGGGGGGGAAAAAAGTAGTAACAATGGAAAAGTGTATGTTTGCCTGAACTGACCATGTTTCAAGGAAAGGCGAGTTTAACCTGCTGTAATGCAGGGTCACTTCCTGTTAGCAAAACCCCCTGAAGGGAGAGGGAGGAAAATGTAAAAAGATACTTTACAGTAAAACAATATACTCATTCTACTCAGAGATCAAGGAATCTTTTTTAAAAAGAGCTTTTGAAAACCTATCCCTGGTTTTACAGAATATTTTTAACTCCTCCAATATCATATGGTTTTCACTAAGTCATTATTTAAAAATTGAGCCGTGGTCTTTTTCTTTCTTGCGTGGGACAAAAATGACTTTTCTCTGAATGTAATTATGCTTTTGTTCCTTAATTTTTTTCTCCTATAGACAGCTGAACTTTTACAACTAGGATCTATATTCGCTGAATTTTATTAACGGAGTCATTCTGCTTTCTGTTTCTTCGAGTTTTGTTCTCCTGTATCTCCCAAAGCATTACACTTGCATGTCTTTGCTCATTAGTTTTAAACTCTTTCTTCAGCTGGGATAATAGAAAAAACATATATTGCTAGTCATCCAGTTGCAATTCTAGCTATTCTCAGCGGGGCATATATATTTCAAGTTTGGTGCGTGGGGATTTAGATACACAATTCCAGATAGTCTTAATGAGAGTAACAGTCCTAATTCCCCACACAGTGTATTAAAAATGGATCCAGGATGTACAGAGTGAAATTCTCTGATCTTACCTTTAAGTACCTTTGTCTTTTTCTTTTTTTCTAAAGATCATTTGCGTCTGCATTCGTTAGTTAAGGTAATTGACAGCTGCTTTGAGGATGAGGGAGTTGCTCTTTGGAGCCCATGTCTGGTTTGCTTTCTGTGTTTTCCTGGGGATTGACTGCGCCTGGGTGCACCTTTTGAATTGAAAGGTTAATTCAAGAGGGAGTTAGAGGAAAGAATTCAGCAAATTGGCTCCGTTATTATTCTGATTGCCTTCGATGTTAGACAAGAACAAGACGCACCTTTTCTTATTGCCTTAATTAACTAAAGGAAAAAAATCCCCACTATACTGTGATTCTAATAAGGATTAAGATTTAGTATTAGTACAAAATCTAACGAAGACACTTCTCATGCAGAAAGGATGCAGTGTTTTTATATTGGAATTTCATAAGGAACCTTGCTTTTTAAAATTCTTAGGCTTCCTTTTGTTGTCATAAGGTGCTAATGAGCAGCCATCACCTTTTCCTAATTTTAGATCCCATTCCTAGTTTTGCTCATGCCTTTTCTTTCCTAATCCCTGTCTTTGTAGGGATTCCTCTGACCTTACGGGCAGAAGGCCACTGATGACATGTCTTTTAGCAGGGAAGGGATGCAGTGACAAGCGAAGGCTGTCTGCCTTTGCACTATATGTAAGAAAATTCCTAAGGCTTAATTCTCAGTTCTTGAAGGTGACTGTACTTACACTTAGAAGCCAGTATCCACAAATAGCTAGTTTGGTAGTTAGGAGTAAATAGATTGTGAATACTCCAGGCAACTCTTCTTTCTTTTGTTCAGATCCATATTCCTAAGGTGTTAGAGAGATCTGACTTACAGACAATCCCTTTGCTTGCTCTGGTCTCCACTGTTTTATTCTGCTGCCTTGCAGACCATTTTCACCACCCTGACTATGTGTGCTGCAGTTTTGGATACCAATGCCCAGGCATAGGAAATAACCTCTCTTGGGAAACAACAGTGGTTTAAGCAGTCCGAAAGTCTCAGTGAAGCTGCTGTTTGGCTTCACAGCACACGTTTTTTGCACAGACCATTTCTTGATATGAAAGCAAATTATCTCCTACTGTGATGCTGCCTTGGATGAGCAGAAACTCTTCTCCTTTCACCTTTCTTCTCCTCTCTGCTTTTTGCTGGCCAGTAAACTATTAGAATTTAAAAGATGATTTAAAGAGATAATCTGTTTTCCATTCAAGTTCTTTCTGTGGCTTAGCTGCCTTTTTTTTTTTTTCCATCTATCCTTCTAGTATCTTGGCTGCCTTTGTGCAAAGACTTCCTTCTCCGCCACTCTGCAGTTACTTAATGCTACCTGCTGCTTTCTTCATCTTCTCCTACAGTGCTGCTTGTTTCTGCCTCCTCCCACAAAAACTCTTTGATGCGCATGACCCCATTAATCTGTCCCAATATTTTTTCCCTCTATATGTCATAACCCATTTGTAGAAACACAGTGTGGAATTGCAGGTATGGGATCAGTCAGGGAATGAAGGAACAGACCACTGTATGTGCATGAGCTCCAACTGTGCGCACAGAGTTGAGTCTATCCAGTTTTTGAGAGTATTTTCACCTGAGAAGAGAACTAAGTTTTGCCAAAAGATATGGCAAATATTTGCAATGTGTGAAAAGCAAGGAGAAAAATAAGTTATAGCAGAGAAAAGAAGGAGAGCTTGGATGCTAGCCTAGAATCTGGGAGCTCTGTGTGCACTTCCTTGCTTTGACCAGATTTTCTGTATGGCTGTGAAATTGCTCAGGACTGGGATTATCTCTATGAAGTTAATTAGAAAAAAGTTAATTTTTCTGTTTATGCTGATCTTCAGGGATCCATCAGTAGAGCATCCCCTGAGAAACTGACTCCTCCTCGATGTATGGGCAATTACAGAAAGAAACTTAAGATGTTAAAAGCTTTCTGATCTCCATGGTTAGGGAAAATCACTAGATGCTGTACCTTAATGCCTCTGATTTCCTCAGAAATACAGGATGATGAAAAAGAAACATGAGCCCTTCAGATCACTAAAATGTGTAGGAGAGCATCATTTTGTGGCAAAGACTATTTCTTACTTGTTGTGAGTGTAATAAGGATTGGGAAAGTGAACTGAGAACTTCCCACACGGCGCTGCAGGATCTAATTTTACTTAATGACTGTGAGATAAGGAAGTGTGTAACGTGATGTGCCATCTCACCCTTTCTCATGGATTGGTTCAAAGGAGAACAACACTTCCATTCTTCCCTCTCTCCTCAATGAAGACACTGGAAAGAATAGTTTAGAGGCAGCTGCTGAGAATGAGTCAGCAGAGAAAGGAATTATATGGCTGCTTTTAAAATTGTTTAGCAGGAAAGACATTTATTAAATGTCTTATGTCCAGAATATAGAACAGGACAACCCCTGCCTGGTTTGTTTGGTTTTATGGTTTGGTCTGAAAACAGTTGTGGTGGTTTGGAGGTTTTTTTCCCCTTGTAGCTCCCAAATCTTTCAGTTGCCTTCTTTCACAGGTTTTTAGCAGCTACTGGTCATTTCCAGCTACATAAATCTTTAGGTCTCGAGTGAGCCTGTAACATCGAAGGCGGGGTATGCTTCTGAGGTAGCCACCCCACTATGGAGAGGTTGAACCCCTGATCCCCAAACCACTTTGACCTCAGGTCTCATCACAGCCACCATTGCATCTGTAATTATAGTTTTGATTAGGTTTAACTAACCTAAAATATTCCTCTCAAGTGAAGAAGAGGCAGGAGAAAGACACATAGTGTGTGTATCTTTTCCTTAGAGGTATCTTGACTCCTTCCATGCTGCCCATCAGATTGTATCTGTATTATTCAGAATGGCAGTTTATTTTTTTGAAGAGTATCCTCTGTGATTATTTCTATCACTAACATTTTGTTGGGGTACAGCTGTACAGCAGTAAGGATAAAATTTGTATCAGTTACAACTTTTAAATATATGACTGAAAGCAGTTTTGCAGGAAATAAAAATTATGAAGACAAAAGGAATGAGAATAATGTTCCCATGTTATAGAATTTTGGGTTGTTTTCTGTTTTTCCCAGGAACACAAATGCTGTCGGGAAGTCAGAAGAAGCAATGCACCATGGGCAGCTCAACAGCCTCTGACTCTCTTCCAGATACGGCATCCAGAAAGGTGGTCGCTGCTGCTACCAATGTCTCATCAAAAAAGAGAGAACCCTCCAAAAGCGCCTCTGAATCCAAAGAGATCCAAGCACAGGGCATCCTGAAACCAAAAATGTCTGTCTCTGATAGTATGTGCAATATAACAGCTTCATCAAGAATCCTCTCAGAAGAAAACGTTCACAGGCAAAACCAGCTCCTAAAAAGTAAGGTACAAATCCTACTGTGGTTGTTAGGAATATGGTTTCAATAATAAGATGAGATCAGTCTCGAAGAAAAAAGTGAAATAATGGAAAGTCAGTCCAGTTTTGTCCAGCTTTAAGTGCTGAATATGAGTCATCTGGTGAGAGATCAATCAGCTAGTCTGACTGTATACATTGCTATGGTTAATAGAAAGCAAGATTAAAATGAGAAAGATAGGCTTACTTTGTAAGTAGATTCAATAAAATCTTGAAAAAACATTAAAATTGCAGAGTCAAGCATCCCCGGTTCAACCAAGAAACACCAGAAGTGAGGTTATTTTTACAACCTTGTTCCGATACCTTTCATTCACTTCTGCAATCTAATTTTCTTGACACAACAGCCTGAACTATGTGGTGCAGAGGCTCCATGAAACACCTCATTTGGAGATTATCCTGAAGGAAAAACAAAAAGCTCAAGTTTAACAATTGATTATCAACAAGGTTGCAGCATGTAAAACATAATTTCTTCTAGTAAGTACCTGTTGGGATGTCCTACTTCCGACTTTTATTCACATTGCTAAAATGGAGGTGACGGAAGCAGCTGCATCCATGTGTAAGGTATTTTTGCAGGAGACAACTGAGATAGACAAGAGATGAATTTGGCTTTAGGATCAATAGGTTTGTGAGAAATTTAATCCCAGAATACCTTACATATGCTATAATGGTCATGTAGCATTTTCTTAGAGTTTTTTGTAGGCAGGTAGGCAAATCCTTTTCATTATTGACTATAAAGGTACCGAATATAACACCCATTTAGACGAGAGATGCCTACGTTCTGCTTGCAGTGCCTGAAGTTAAATTATGCCATTCCACTAACTGGAAGTGACTTACTTTTAAAAAAGTGAAGCGTTGACTGAGATCTACCAAAGACAAAGTTCACTGACACCTCTGTAAACCTGGCTTATCGAGGAGTTTAATTTCATGTTCACGGGTTTCAAGGATTTTTCCAAAAATGTTAACAAGAACAGTATTAAGGAGGAAATACGTTTCAGGCTTTTATAAGGCAAATGTACCCAACACAGATCATTTTAATATATTTTTTTAAGTACAATATAATACGTACAATATGTCATAAAGGGGAAAATATTTTAAGTTTATTGTAACCAAAAATTGAAATAAAACAGTAATGGGCTTTATTCCCAGATATTTAGTTCTAGAAATCAAATTATTTGGCACAGAAGAAGTACTCCAGTGTGACTTTTCAAAATAGTTCGTGTGGAGCAATTCTGAAGTTCCTTTGTTATTTTGGATTAAGTCTGTTGTCTAAATGAGAATCTTGTTAACTCTGATTTTTGAGCACATAGCCTCTTTTGGCCTTAATCTGTGCAGGGTGTATTGGTCATAGAGCACCGAAGCATAACTATAAGTGTATAAAAATAATCTAATTCCTCAGTGTGAATTGACAGCTTTTCTAATAACGTGTTATAATGCTCATTAACCTTTTATTGTTTTCTTTCCATGAAATCTTTCCACTGGCTGATGAATATATAGAAATGACAGGAAGCAAACCGTATTATCGGCAAAGGACAAAAAGCAAGAGTAGTGTTTACGAAGGTCTCGGAGTGGCCAAAGAGAAATGATATGTGATTAGGGTGCATAGCAATATGTTATTTCCTACAATAAATCGAGATGAACTCCAACAGCAAGCCGCAGCGTGATATCCTTTGCTTTCCACAATGCAATGGTGTTACAGAAGTACCTTGCTTCTGGGAAGTGAATACCAGCAAACGGAGCTAAGCATCCGAGCGGTTTAATTATGCCTTGATGTGATGTCTGGCTTAATGTGAAAGATACTCTGGGTGTCACAGGGCAGTGAGTAGCACCTATGATTAGATTTGATCCATTCTGCTTAATGAGGCCTATTAATAATACCTTGGCATTCTTATTTCAGAAATTGCCCTCTATGTCTAATGAGGTGGAGAACCCAATAAAAAATTAACCATGCACTCTTAATGAACTTTTAAATCTCTCGAAGGTGATTATGAATTCTGTGGTTCAAGTGACAAAATAAAGGAGCACAAGGAGGAGGACGAGTGGGAGCGAGCCAGCAGGGTAACACTATCCACGGCTCGCTCGCCAGATGTTCCTCATGAGAAAAACGACACACTCTCCCAGCCAGAAACCACCTCCGAGCCTGAGAAAACTCCACCAGCCCCACTGACACTGCGGGTAAAATATCAATCTGTCATTATTGTGGCTGTTAATATGGGAAATGGGGTTTTTAATTATTATTTTTTAATTTTTTTCTAGTGTTTTTCTTTTATCCTTTTCCTTTTTTTTTTTTTCATGGATGGTGTTTTCTTCCTGGGAGGTGGCTGAGGACAGAAGTTCTCATTTCCTTGATTTTTCTCCTTTTCAGTGAAGTTTTGGTAGCTTGCATCAGCAGCCAAGACTTGCTTGGGTCTGGTTGTAAAAGCTCCCCATTTAAGCCCTAGTTGGCATTACTGTGGAGGAACATGTTAAAAGTTTGAGGATTTACAAATTTCCCAATGATACTCAAAAGCGCCAGTTTCCCAAAATGTGCACGACATCCAGTACCATGAGCGGCAGCTGGAGGGGTGGACATGACCCCAGGGTGATACCAACCCCCAGCAGCAGACGTGCTTTCCTGCCCTCTCCCCTGGCACGTGTTGCAGACCAGTCTCCACTCCTGTCTTCAGCCCTGAGACATTCCTAGATGCTGAAGCAGCCCTGGACTGGAAGGCGTTTTATTTCTGGATCATCCATGAATAGATGTGCCTGACAATCTAAATAAACAGGAAAGTTTGTGAACTGTCAGTGACAAGCTGCTTTGGCGATGGGGTGCGATAAGGAAACAGGCAAAACATCAAGAACTTGAATTTGGATAACTTCTAAAAATACGTAATTCAAAACCGTTTTGGATATGTTTTCTGAAAGTTGGAGCTTTTTCAGAAATTCTCCTTTGTCTGATCTGGAAATTTCACACCAAGGCAGCTTTCTAACAGTAAAAGGAAGCAAAGACAGATAGGAAGGCAGTTTGCTGACTTTTGCACAGTCAAGCCATCATTTTCATTGATAAGCACTTACTGTGAACCCATTAAGATTCACATCACATTTTTTTCTCCCTTTTAATTTTTTTTTAAACGAAGCTGTTTCTCTGTTTTATTTAGGAAGCCCTAGAACTCCATAAGCCTCAGTTCATTTCTCGTTCACAAGAAAGGCTGAAGAGACTCGAACATATGGTCCAGCTGAGGAAAGCCCAGCAGAGTGATACTCCCACAAGCACCCAAGGAACGCTTGTTGTTCGCAAGCTTTCCTCAACATCCACTTCCAGCAAAAAGAAGCAGTACACCATTCCTCACCCACTCAGTGGTAGGTTGAATTGCGACCGGCAGCCGGGCTGTAGCTGCAGCAGTGGAAGGGGTCTTTTGGGGACTTTTTGTCATTGTCACATGCAGTTGTGCTCTTCAGTGTGATGCAAGTTGCTGGTAGTGGTAGAGGTTTGTCTAAATACATAGAATGGTTTGGGTTGGAAGGAGCCTTAAAGATCATGGAATCATAGAATGGTTGGGTTGGAAGGGACCTTAAAGAGCATCCAGTTCCAAACCCCCTGCCATGCGCAGGGACACCTTTCACTAGACCAGGTTGCTCAAAGCCCCATCCAACCTGGCCTGGAAGACATCCAGGGATGAGACATCTACAGCATCTCTGGGCAACCTGACCTGCCACAGCTCACAGAAAGACCAGTTTGGGGAGAGAAGGGACAGGTGGAATTTGGGAGTAGGACTGCCAGTCCAGCCTTCTCAGCAGCTTCAGGTGTTGACGTCCCACTTGACTCGTGAAGCCCTCAGTGGTGAGCTGGCTGTGAAATCACACTCGTCTGCCTGGCAGCTGTATGCAAGGCTGCTAAATCAATCCATCTCAAGTCTGTGATTTCCTAATTCAAGTTGATTAGGTTGGTTTATTGCCCTAGTGGTAAACTGACTCAATATCCAGAGAGTGCAACAATTCTCTCAGAGAAGCTCCGTCCCCATAACACCTCTGTAAATATTATCTGGGCACAAGATGTTCAGAGTGTTAATTTTGGTTTTTTATTTTTAATTGCCATCTGGTTGTTACTTAATTCAGTTGACTAAAGAAAAAGATTTATTTGATTGATTGGCATTCTTCTACATTCTGGGTTTAAATCTGTGGCTGTTTGAAGCCAAATTATTCTACCGAAAAGTAAATCAATTAGAACCATTAAACAACTAGACGGGTCACCGGGAGGAAACAGGAGAGGAAGTTTTTGATGCCCTCACCTCTGGGAAACATATATGTTTTTTGCTTCTGGGAAATGAGAGGATGGGGGGCAGGAAAGCCGGGCGCAGGCCCCCTCTTTGGGGTCTTGGCATGCTTTGTATTGGAGAGAGCCAACTTCTATTGCTACATCTGTGCCCTTTGTTGTGGTGTGATGGAGTCTACCTTATGTCAGATGCGTAATGGGGTTTTATAATAAGGGCTAAATAAGCTTAAGCAAAGCATCAAACATCAATTACATTTTAAAGAGTCGATAAAAGTCATTCACCACTTCAGTTATCCCAGTTAATAGACTTGGGTTCAGATCTCTTAGGGACACACTGCCCTGAGGTGTGGGACTCTGCCTTCCCAGCAGGCAGTGGCACAGACCAGGAGTTTATCATACATCGTGGAAGGAGTGGCAGATATCTCCCCCTTTGTTTGGCCATCTTTGAATTTCCCCCAAACCACTCTGCAAATACTTTATGAAACTCAAAAAGGAAAGGTTGAACCTGTTTCTCCTTAAATTATAATTAAAGATTAATTTTTATGCTTGTTTAATGAGTAATAAAAGCATAATATAGAAATATATGAATTAATTATTTCAGCTAATTACTATTTCCTTCTTTTAGTGGTTGTCTTTAAAGATAAACTTGTCTAAAGAGAATTTTTAGTCTCCGTAAGTCATCTGCCTTCATGTAGCCACATGTAATTTTCTGTTTGTGAGATCTTAATGTTTTTACAATGACAGAAGTGTCACATGTCTGTTATTTAAGCATAACTATAATTACTATTGGAAATCCTAGATTCTTATAAAGCGCAACCGTGTCAGCTGCAGTTCAGAGCGCTGTGTAGGAGTGTACTGAGCATATTTCATTTGCTCTGAGTCCTGACAACTGGTATTTTAGGACTGCTGGTGGATGCTATTGTGGAGAAGGATTAGTATCATTAATCAGTCCCAGAATGAGGGATCTTTGTTTCCTACAGATGCTCCTAAACTTTTCTAGTTGCAGCCTGTCTTGCAGAAGAGCCAAGGGCTTCCCCCTCGTGCTCACCAAGGGCACTGGCTGCCTGTATCCTTCTGAGCTCTCTGCTGATGACACCGGGGTCACAGCCTTCTCCTTCCCTTCTGCCTGCCCCAAAACCTGGAAGAAAGAGAAGTTATCATTTGTTGTCATCATTATTCTGTATTCTCTGGAAAAGCCATTTTAGCACGTGAAATGTACTTTTAAAGCAAGGAAGGAATTTGCCTCGTGTTTTAGACAACAAAAGTACAATGAAATGAAAATGCAGCTGTTGTCCAGGGAGGGATGCAAGCACAGTTTCATTTACTGAGATAGGAAGCGGACATCATAATCCCGGTGACCTGAGGATGCCATTTCCCATTCATGCAAGGGAGGCTGTGGGCACAAGCAGCAGTGCCACCGCCTGCTCTGTTGCTTTGTATGGCCCATCCATGCCCCCCATATTTCAGTTGGATCTAGCTGGATTTTATGAAACATGGGAGGGATCACCCCTGACTATGTATTTTGAAGCCAGCTTCTCAAGTGTAGAGAGCCTGGGATTTCTGCAGGGCACAAAGGCCAGGAAAGGAAAAAACAACCTAATGGGTGTCTGCAGGTCCAAACACAGAAAGTCCTGAATGCCACCTCTGTCTCTGGCTATACCCAGCTGTGAGTCAGTCAGAAGGGGCTCTGACACCAAAGCTGGGGACAGGAGCTGGTGGCTGAGGCTCAGTCTTGTGCTACCGCAGCCATTGCTGCCCAGGGTACAGTACAGCTGCCCCAGGGTGTACTGGGCATCAGCAGAGGGCACGGACCTGTTTACGTCACCACATCCATTCCTGTGGTCATCTGGAAGCCTGTGTCTGCTGCAGCCAATGACAAAGGCCAAAGCAGATATCAGACCTCAGCCATCAAGGGAACTGGGCACCAAACACTTGTGTGCTCGAGGGCAGTTGCTTTGCCACATCCCCACAGCCATTGGTATTTTATTTGGTAGTAGTACTAATGGGTCTCCTGTTGTCCCTGCGTCGTAAAAAATCTCTGCCGTCCAGTGCAACCCACCTGCAGGTTTCCTGGTGTCAGGAAGCAGGCTGCTCTTTCACGGCAACACGCTTTGGAACAACATTTGAAATTAAGAACCCAGGAGAGTAAAATGATGACCTGGAAACTTGCTTAAATAGACAGCATTGTGTTGGTGGCAGCCCTAGGCTTCAGGGTGTGACCTTGTGGTTGCTTTTTTTCAGTCTGATAGTTTCCTCCTTTCTCCTTTTTTTTATTCTCTTTCCTGATGTTTTTGGGATTTGTGGAGGTAGAGGTCTTTACGGCTCTGAGGTTCAAAGGGCTCGTTGCCAGCACACCCCCATACATTTTCCAATGGTCGTCTATGTAAGGGCAGGTTGGTTGATGAGTTTAATTTCCACTGACCCCCAGTGGAATTTCCACAGTGACCCCAAGGATGGATTATTAGATCAGTAGTAGGGCAGGAGTCGTGCATCTGTGCGCAGCCGCGAGGTGCTCGCAGGCCAGGTCACTGCAGCGGACTCGCCGCCCGCACTGGCAATAACGCTCATTATCCACCCCCAAAAGACATTCCCTGGCCCAGTTCCCCACGTGCACGTCTGTACACTCATGGCAGGTGGCACAGGAGAGGGAGAGGGGGAAACTGCACCCTTGGGTGGCAGCCTGCTTTCCTGCAGGTGGAAATGGGGCTTCAACTGCAGCCCCAGATGTTTTGCTCTGCAAGCTTGCTGCAATTACCTCTCTCTGACATAAGCTTGCTGCATGCACTTCACTCTGGACTCGTGGCTTTTATTTCAATAAAATAGTTGTTGCCCAGAAAAAAGAGCAATGACCTTCAGAGATTTTTCTCCACCTGAGATTATTCTATCAGACCAAAGTGTCTTTACCGATAATATGAGATTATTAGCTAGCATGGTTGTTCAGTGTTTTTGACAGTGGCGTTACAATTTTAGTTTCTTGCAGGAAAAAGAAATAATTGGCATTCAGCATCATTTCCATATAAATACCAACATCTGTGCAGTTTCCGTTTACCTTCCCATCCTCAAAAAAACCAAGTTGTTTACCATTTTTAATTGTAATTCATGAGCAGGATTTTAGGAAACGCTGAAAGTAATCTTAGAAAAATGAAAATGTTTATCCTGCAGAAGATTTTATCGGCCCAAGAGCACTTTGAAGGCAGAGAACCTGCAACTCTCAGGCTAGCCTTTGTGCTGTGTAATGTGTACTGCTAAATTTCGAGAGCGCTAATTAGTCCAAGATAGACTACTCTGCTGTTGACTATGTCGAACAAATTAGAGATCCCACTGTGACGAACTGAATAGAAACAATGTTCAAATAACTGGATTTAAATCTCTAAAACCGTAATGTAATTACTTCAGTGACAGGACTACCAGCTGTTTATAGGCCTTTAAATCTGCATAATGAACAGCCTTGTGATCTTAGTGTACACAAGCACTTTCAGAGGTTTAAAAAAATTTCTCAGGCACATATGGTTTTTCCATACCTTCCATTTTCCCTTCCTCCGGGAGGGCGGTGGTTCACTGGAAGTGGTGATATAAGTTGAACGTTACCATTCAACCCCTACCATGGTGCCTGCTGTGTTTCTCTGGCTTTGTATCCAAATCCTCTATCTTTAGTAATATTTTGGAAACAAGTTTATACCTCCTCAGTCATGCTTCTAAACCTTTCCAAAAAGCTTTATTGTAACTGCAGAAGCCTAGAGGGCAAGGATTGCTGTTTGTTTGTTTGTGTTTTTCAAGGGGTTGGTTTCTTGAGAAGACCTATGCCAGGGAGGTTTTATTAGGACCATAGAGAGAGAAGACAGCAATCAGAGAATTTGCAATAAGCATGCATCTGGCAAATCCTGCAGCCATGAACATGCATCCTCATGGTCTTCAGATGCCATGGGTGACTGATGAGATATTGGCAGCTGTTTATGTGTGGCTGGTTGTGCCACCCTTGGGTTCTTTTCCCCTGTCAAAACTTAGAGCTAGCACTAGTGCCACTGATCCTGTTGGCATCTGGCCTCTTTGGTTAAGGCTGACAGCCCTGAATAAAGACTAAGCTGCA